CTCTCTCTCTCTCTCTCTCTCTCTCTCTCTCTCTCTCTCTCTCTCTCTCTCTCTCTCTCTCCGTCGGTGTACCCAACCGCGCCGCCCCGACCGACACGTCGCTCCGCCCAGCCACGCCTGGCRAAGAGGACCCCGCCGACCGGCACCCCCCCCCGGCGCGATTTTTTGCGGACCGTCCCTCGTCGCTGTCCCACGGCCACGTCCCCACGACCCCGCGGTACTGCGCGCGGGCCTCCCTGCTCGACTTTCCCTGGGCCCGGCGGCAGCGTCACGCGAGGACCGGTTTTCCCTTTAGGGTATAAAAGAGAAGATATATATATATATATGCACCTGTTCATCACCTCTTACGTACAAGGCCAGCCACATGGATGACAGGTTGAGCGCTGGCTACCCCCATCCCCGTGTGTCACAAGGACCCACTTGCACGCAGCCAAAAGGCAAAGAGTTAAAGAAAAGGAGGAGGAAACCAGACCTCACAGAGGCAAGAGAAAGAGAAAGGTCAAAGAAATGACGAAGGAAGAAAGCAAATGACACATCCCACAGATAAACCTATTGCCACTGTCACACCAAACTTCAACATTTTTTTTCTTTTCTTGTTTTCTCTTTTCTTTTCTCCAGAAATTTGTACTTTTTTTCTTTGTTTCTTTTATCTGTCCTATAATTAGTGTTGCTCACGTTGAGGATGACGTGGATGTTCACAAGGATACCCAAGGAGAGCTACTTCAGATAGGACAGGCAGTTGAGAATGACGTGGATGTTCACAAGGATACCCAAGGAGAGCTACTTCAGCACAGCATTCAGCAGGACGGCTAGCACGAACCATCCCATCAAAACAGTCCTGACAAAGGACATGCTGTCCACATGTCAAAAACAGCAGGACGTTCATCACAGTGCGGCATCATGCAGTCCTGACAGCGTCCTTGAGCACAAAAGGGACAACGAATATCTGGGTGATAGGGGTGTGTACAATGAGGAAATGTTGGACACCCTTCGGCACAGACGGCGGCGGCTGCAATAACTTGATAATGTTGATGGCATAGGTGATGAATTCCGCAGCCAAGACGCACCGCGTCCCTGTCCCGACAGGTGTCACACGAAAGTTGATGAATAATCCAGAATAAAGTATGATTCGGTAATGCACACAGAATTTCATTTATGTTGAAAATAGCCTGAGTCATTGCCCCACCATCCCACCGTTCCAACTGGGCAGCTGCACGAATGAGTGCCATATAATGCCCGGGTCTGTGCAAAATACAGGCAGAAATATGAGGGTGGTCATTAAGGTCATCGCCTGGCGTCGCATGATGCATAAGAAGGTGGCGACCATGGAATACTAGTTGTAAGACATTTACAGTAAAGCCTCCTGAGGTAGTATTATTACTACCTTCAGGAGGTGGACCATTATGGTCATACAACAACTGATTTTCAACAGCGTCAAGCTGATAAGCAATCGTAACAAAATGGGAAGCAGTATAACATTGACACTGATAAGCCTGTAGGCAGACATTTGTGGCTGTCAACCCACAAGCATTTGGTAGATCTGCACACAGATCCGATTCCGTCACAACTGGAAAGCTAGGTCTGATCTGGCGGGGTCGGCGCATGAATGACGAATGCCGTCGCCGTGGCGGAGAAGGCTGTCGGTAAGACGAAGAACCCCGCAGACTAGCATCAACACGCCGTTGAGAGGAAGGGGGACTGGGAGGAGGAGAGAATGAACGAACCTGCCAATGTCCCAATATAGACAACAAAGATAAGGGAGGGTCAGGTCTCAGCCGGTGTGGGAAAGCGGAAGAAGAAGAAGAAGAAGAAGAAGAAGAAGAAGAAGAAAAGGAACGGGAAGTAGAAGACGAAGAAGAAGAGGAAGAAGACGAAGAAGAAGAAGAAGAAGAAGAAGAAGAAGAAGAAGAAGAAGAAGAAGAAGAAGAAGAAGAAGAAGAAGATATATATTCTATTTAAGGATATATACATACACACATTTACACATATACACGAGCATATATACATGCTTCACCCCAGCTGGTTGAAAGGCGCAAACTCACCAATTCAGTGGTATGATTAGCATCCATCATGGGTGTTTGTGTCTCCAGGATGTCAACAGGCGCCAAGTCGGCCTTGGTTTGCCCTGTCAGACGAAGAGATGATGGTGGCTGGGATGGTGGCTGGGATTGCGGCCCGAGCACAAATCTCTCTATCAAAGATGGCCATTCTGTTCTGCTGATCACCCCCGTGAGAGACCGCATCAAATGGTCAAGACTCTCAACCAAAACCACACCACTCTTCTTGAACTCAGTGTTGCTCAACGGAAGAGTAGTACGGCCATAGCGAAAGGATTGACTTGACTCCGACGACGACGACGACTCCCCCTGCTGTGACTCCCGCTGACGAGGACGGTACGGGTCATGTGATGGCGTCCACAGACCCGCCAGCAGCTTAGGCAGGGAGAAACTGCTGCCTTGTCCGTGCATCGGAAACTGCAAGTACGATGTAAATCTCTTGGCCCATTCCAACAACCTGTGCTTAGTCAAGGATGCGATGCTAATCCATGGCGCTGCCGCCGAATAGCCACTGCCTATTCCACTGTCTATTCGCTGAGTTAGAAGTCCCAGATTCTTGTCCACATGAACCTCCTCACCTAGAACTGGGCCTGGAGCTGCTGCACCTGGAACTGCCGCTGGAATGGCACCTGGAACTGCCCCTGGGCCACGACTGGAAAGTGGCACAGATGATGATCCCCGGCCTTGAGAAAGCGCATCTTTTGACAATAAATTCTCCTGCTCGAGCTAGAACAGCCCGGATAAGGATACCGCATACCAGCACAAACAAAGAGCCACACGGAGACACAGACGCACAGCAAGATAGCAGACAGACAGACGGAGCTATGAGACCTAGAGAACCTCGTTAAGGATTGTCTCCATTCAGCAACAAGAAGAAAAAGAAGGAGAAGAAGAAGAAGAGTGGCAAGGAAAAGCGAGAGTTGCTTTCACAAGCAGTTTATCACAAATCCGCATGTACAACATTCGGTAACTTGCGCATTCCCCTACGCATTTCTGCCAGGTGCACAACTGGCACTCCTCAGGGGGTTTTGAACGTGCAAGCACCACACCTTCCACCAAGAACAAGAAGAAGAATAGTGAAAACAGGGGGCCAGGGGCCACCTGCCTTTCGTACACGCTCCGTAAGTTCTTCCATATACAGCCACCACGCCTTCCACCAAGAAGAAGAAGAAGAAGAAGAAGAAGAAGAAGAAGAAGAAGAAGATTAATGAATGAATGAATGAGCTGCGTAGACCATATTGCTAGTAGCACATGCGTCATCATGAAATGGAATGTTATTCACATCCCTCATCGCATGCTAACTACTCAACTCTCGGACACTGCCAATTGCCTCTCGACCTGTTGCGACCTAGTCTCATCAGGGAGCCTTCCCAACTCAGTCAATGCAATGTTGACACGCGAGGCAGTGCAATTAGGAATTCTGGAGTCCCATAACCCTATACCCTAAACCCTAAACCCTAAACTGCTTCTCGGCATATGCCTGGAAATAAAATGATTAACCAAGATCGAACTGTATGTACCTGCAGTCAGTCCTCTCTTCTCAATTCATGTTCAACCTTGCACGCAACGAGGATGTTTCTAGTGCCGATGATTGGGATAATGATCATGACATGATCATGATAATATGATTATCATGATTATTTATACGATAATGATCATGATCACGATAGTTTTTAAATTATCATGAAATTGATGATCATCCTGATCATGATATAATGATTATTATGATTACTATGGTCATGACTGCTATGATTATGATTATTTCTATGATAATGATCATGATCATGATAATTTGATTATCAAATTGACCATGACAACGGTCATATTATGATTACTATGATCATGATCATGAGAATTTGGCAGGAACTACCAGCTTCTTTTTCAAGAATGGACAGATATCCAACAGGACATCCCTTGGCGCCCTGCTTCGGACTTCCCACCAGCTCTAGCTATGGTATGGAGGTGGGGATTCCTAGCAGAAGGAAGCAGCAAGGCACAAGGACCGGGCAAGGGAGAAACGGCACCTGGTAGCGATTAGGGGGGAGGGTGGGAGGGTGGAATTAGCTTATAACTGTCATGGCTGGGTCAAAATAGATACAGCTTTTACCTCCACCCCTTTCTCCCCCTCCCAACTGCCTGGTAGGAATGCAGTGGTGTGGTATGGATGGATGAAAAGCGAAGTCAAGGGTCAAGATCTTAGTCGTAAATATAAAGTGATACCCCTTAGTGCCAGGCCTTAGCAGCTTTAGATGGAGCCCTTCTTTGGAGGGTGAAGAGGCACAGATTAGGGGATCTCACAGTTACTGGTCCCATGGTTTTCAGACAGTATCATTGGCTGTATATGGGATGCTGGACCCGTTTTCCAGCAGGTGACGCTCCCCACCAATAGATGGAGCCTCTCCCCAGGTGTTAGTGGTGTCTGCTCCTATCAGCATCACTAACACCGGTGGAGTTGATTTTAAAAAAAAAAGAAAGAGAATTTGATTATTCTGATATCCATAATCAGCATGATCATGATAATATCATCATGTGATTAATGATTTGATTGTATTGATGACGATCACGATCATGATAATTTGATCATTCTGATATTGACGATCAGCATGATCATGATTCATGATCATATGATTATAATGATAATGACGCCAATAAAGTAGGTGACATGATGACAATCATAAGCACATCACCATCATCATCGTCTGCGTTCGCCTGACATGGAGGCGGGACAACATTTAACATGTGCATGACCATGGAGCCATCAGGGCACGTATGACATCATCTCTGCCTGTCATCGCCTGCTTATGATCTGACATTCTATTACCGTTTTGTACCGTTTAACCGCCGTCGCTATGTCCATAGCCCCTTCATGAACGGTATTCGCAAAGGCCCATCATCATCATCATCATCATCATCATCATCATCATCATCATCATCACGATCATCGACGACGATTACCGGTAATTAGCAACAACGAGGACGACAACGATAATCTCGGTGATGCGTTCTTTAAAGGGCAAAAAAGGAAAAAAAGAATTCGTGCCCCCCTGAACCCTGAAAGAGCAGGAGGGGACACCCTCAGTGATGACGAGAGTAGTGGTGAACGAGTGGGACTGAGTTAAGCTATGGTGGTGAATCAGCGGCACGCGCCACCTGCCACCCGCCCGTTGCTTAACTGAAATCACTGAACTTGCCGTATTTATGTCAAAGCAAAGGGAGGAAAACAGAGGAAAAAAACAACTCTCTGTAAAGACCAGACAGGCGATAAGTAAATGGCATCCCCCGTGCCCATTGCTCCACCGCACGTACTTAATCTCGTAAAGAAAAAACAAAACAGAACAAACCAAGAAAGGAAGGAGGAAAGGGAGGAGAAGGGCAAGGAGGAAAAGGAAGATCGCCCTGGAGGGAGCCGCCAGAACAACAACATGGTTCTCAAGACGAGAAGCCGTGACCACGGCGCGCATCGCCCACAATTCTCGAACCCTCAGATGAACACCACCAAAGGAAACTGACTCATGATTATCTTTACATTCTCTCTCTCTCTCTCTCTCTCTCTCTCTCTCTCTCTCTCTCTCTCTCTCTCTCTCTCTCTCTCTCTCTCTCTCTCT